CTATCTTGGGCTCTATCTGGTAAATTAACTGCACCATCTACATTGTCATTTAAGTGATGATGAGAATAAAACTGTGTCTCTGCACCATCAGGAAAAGAAAAATCATGTGTAACTTCTTTGTCCCTTTTGCCATTAGCAGCACATGCTCCTTTCAGCTTTTCAAGGTCAAATTGTTCACTTGTAAATGAAGGTGACCAAGACCTCTCTCGAGATTCCAATCCAATACTTGGCACATCAAATGACTGAGACAAGCTTGAGGCTGAATCGTATCTCTCTTCTGACAGATCCACATCACCGAAAAAATTTGAGCCACTTGCATTCTCTGTATGAAAAGTGAGAGCAGCTCCCTCACTATCACTGTTAAATGAGTTTATGTTGGAATTGTTGCAAACTTTGTGCTCTTCATCAACTTCAGTGTTGTCAAATATTTCTTTCCCTTCTTCCACTTCATCACATTGTTTACTATTGACACCAGAAACACTTTCAGACATGTCATCCAGTTGTTTGCTCTCTTGAGGTGAACAATATTCCCTTCTAGATGATTCTTCACCATTATGAAAAGGTTCAACAAGTTTCTCTACAAGATCAAAACGATGGATTCTTTCTAGAAGATCTCTAACAAAGGAACAGGAAAACTCCCCTCTTCTTTCTAATTCCTCAAACAACTCTGAGCACTCCCTGATCCTGGCAAGTCTAAAGCCATCCAATATGGGTTGAACAAGCTTCTTCATTCTGCTTAGTTCCAATTCTGATAGGGAAAGTGAGATCTCCTGAAGTCTTTGTTGAATCGAGAAACCTGCAAAAAAAATGCAAACAAGATAAATGTGGGGTAACTCTTAGAATACTATGATGCATGCATCAATACTTATCCCAAGAAACGTCAAATTTTGAGAGCCTTTTTTTTTGTAGTGGAATTTATAAATAAAGGTACAGTACCAAGTTTCAGTACTGTTGTAGTTTGATATACTGATTAATGGCTATACGACAAGGTTCCAGATTGTACAACATCTACCTTTTGAGGTGCATTATTGAGAGATGAAGACAGAGAGTCATAACCTTTACCAATCCAGCATGCTTTCTGGTGATTATCTTTTGGATATGATAAGTAATGTACTTCAATAGTGCAGATTTGTAGTAGAAGTAACATACAGTCTATATGAATCATATCTGGAGCAAAATAGCCACAGCATCCATTCTAAAAAAGTATTTACCTGCTTTGTCTAAAGGATTTACACCACCAAGCAGCTTAGCATCCGTACCTGAAAAGTCATGGGATGCACCTCTAACTCCAACAGGCTTACTCCTTCCACTGGCATGTTTACTGGGGGGTTGATAAACCTTTTTGCTGCATCGTCTTTCTTTGCTTTCCAAAAATAACTGTCTTCCTACTTCAGCTTGAAGACCTTGTTTCTCCTCCTCACAGAGCTTCAACTTCTCTTTCAATTTTATTAATTCTTCTCTTAGTTCATAGCATTGATCCTGGTAGAACACGACTTCATCTTGCAATTCACAGATCAGGTTGCCATTGGGAATGGTGCCTTTACCATTCTCTGTGGCCAATGGAAGTTCAGGACTATGAAAAAATTCAATTCTGCGATTCTCCCTTGACTCCTCTTTGTTAGAGCATGCTTCAATGCTTTGAACACTGCAAGTCTCTTGAGGAATTTCATTTTGTGGCAAATTGTCTTTGGTTTCTAAGCTAGGATGATACTCTGCAATTAAACCCTCCTCACAATTTGACTTCACTGCTGCACTCTCATGGTAGTGACTGCTGACAAAGATTGCCTGTGAAGTTGATGATGTGTCTGAGATATTACCTGTCTCTTTTCCTGAATATGTTTCCCCATGGACATTCTCCACAGATGGCAAAGCTTTCTGCATAAACTCTGGTTTTTCATTTGTTGACACAGGAGTTAAAAGAGAGTTAACATGTTCTTCTGTACCATCAGTAGTATATAATCCATTGTTTATGCCAGAAAGTTGTACTTCTAAATATAACTGTCTGTTTCTCAAAATACACTCCAAAAGGTTTACACAAACATCAGTACCAATCTTGTCTTCAGAGTGGACAATGAATGATGAGCTTTTAGTATCCTATCAAATAAACAAACCATAGTCAATTCAAAGCAAATAAAAATAATACATTACGTCATTATCATATTAATCTTTTTGTACTTAATTTCACCTCAGCATCTCCCAGTTTGGGTAAATCTACAATGATACTTGCACTTTCTTTTCATTATATCACAGAAAAGACAACAATTTCAATAAAAAAGATCCTGCTGAAAATGGGCTTATTTTATACTAGAAATTCTACCCTTTGTGAACTCTTAATCAATGACTTTTATGTCTTTAACAAATGATTTACAAGTAACTTCTCTCTACAATATCCATTCATTATCCAGCAAACAGGTAATGAGAATACTCAAATGTATCAGGTAGAAGTTGTTATCTTGATCTAATACCAAATTCTCGTAACTTATTTATAAGGAAATGTGTAGAAGCCACAGAGGGCAGAATTTCCGATCAGATGTTGGGAGTTAAAGGGTTAAAGAGTGACCAAGAACAAGAACAAAATAATGAGAACAAAAAATTTTTGACTCCTTAACCAGATAGCCACCTCCTCTGCCTTCTTCAAAGGCAGAAAGAGAAAGAAACAAGATTACACCATGTACAAACATGTATACATTTACATCATGCCAAAACAAATATTTATCTGGGCCCAGTTGTTTGAAGGTTGATTTGTGCTAACCCAAGGTTAAATTTTAATCTGGATTTCTTTATTCATTTATTCAAATGCTTTTTTGGGATAGTTTCCCGTGTTCTTTATAGAGCATCAAATAATCATATTCTAGACAAAAAGAATTCAACTGAATTTTCTTTTAAAGCTATCAGATCTGAAATCAGAATTCACACCAACCCTGGATTATCTTAACCTAGCTTTGAACAACCCGCCCCTGGAGAATTTTTAGCCTGTGAGCCTACTTGTTTTAATGATTTAAATCACAAAGTAAAAATTTTAATTACCTCAGTCTGTGACAGGTCAACAGATGTTCCTATCTTAAGCACATCAGATTCTGGTTCCCAATTGGTTTGTTCATGTAAAGCCAACTTTTGGTCAGAATTGCAGGAAGATTCATCTTGAAAGTCCTTACAGTGACAATAACATTTGGATGGCTTCTTACAATTTCCACCACCATCCTCCACACACGGTAAACATAGAGTTTGTTCAAAGACTGATCCTCTAAAATCAGATTCAAGAGACTCTGTGATGCTCTTCAAAGCACTTCTCACAGAGGAACAAATACAAGTTGACCCACTTTCTTTTACAGCTCGACACTTTACATAAACAGATCCTTCCTCAACAGCAAGAGACAAGGAGGCACAGATGGGGTCCAAAAAAGTAAAGTGGACTGCACAATTCCTCTGTAAAACCAAGGGGTCCTTAGGAGTTGAAATGCTGAGCACCTCAGACAATTCAAGTGTTCTACCTAAACTTGAAATACACTTGTAAAAAACAAGCAGTGCCTTATCAGATGAAGAAAATCTATAGGAAATGTAGGACACATGTGCCAAAGGCCAAAGAGGAGATGCAGTGGGAGAACTAACAATGCTATCACGCTGGTTGTGCAATTTTGATAACTCTAACTCGACTAGAAGTGGAAGAGAGTCAATTCGGGAAGAGAGGGAAGGTAGAGCAGGTGATTGCTCTTGAATTGGCAGCTTCATGAAAAACTCTTGTTTCTCATGAAAGGTTTTTCTAAACTTGGGTTGTAGACACAGTAGTTTAACACTTTCACGGAAGGAAGAGGTAACACAGCCTAAGTCTCCTGTTTCCAAGACATCTGATGTCTTCCAGAAGAGAAGAAAATGTGGCCTCTTTCCATTGTCTCTGCATGATGACATCAAGTACACATCTTCATAATCTCTTAATGGCCTCCCTTCCTTACCACTGTATGGTGATGAGAAGAACTCTAGTAGTTTAGCAGAATCAGGAATCAAAATCCAAGAAACCTGGATATCAGCCTCCAAAATTCTCTGCAATGCACAGTGCACATGTTTGCCCAAATAATCTGAAACTGTCAGGAACTTGGAGTCTAGCTCTTCTAAACAGCTGTAAATTTCTCTCATATGACCCATTTTTTCATCTCCTGTTTTCATATGAGCCAGACTGACAAGAGAAAGAAAGTGGGAACAGTGAGAACCTCTCAGGGCAAGACCATCAGCGTCTACCAAAAAGAACATTCGATAAAGTTCAGGGGCAATAACCTTGGTCTTCATAGACAAGTCATCCTGTGATGATAGCTGATGATGTACAAAGAGAAACTCCTCTTCAGCTTCTTTGACTTGACCTAGGGAGTGCAATAACTGGCCTTGTAAACAGCGGCAGAAGGCAACATCTGGATGATCATGGCGCAAGCCATGGAGTATAAAGATGTGAGTGGTTTTCTTCACTTTGTCCAAAGCTGACTGCATGAATTCTCCTTTCCTTTGCAGAATAGATGCACCTTGAAGATAGGCAAGGGCTGTCTGAAGGGAGACCTTACCACAAGACAATATGAACATTTCCAATGCTTCTTCAATGGCTAATTTAGCATTCTCAAAATTTCCATCCTCACTCTCCTGATGAGCAAACTTTAAAATAATTTCGCCTACTTTTGGGTGGTGGTGATTTATTCTCTCAAAAACATTACGAGCCTCCTTTAGACAATAATGGGCCTCCTCTTGTTTTCCTTTCTGCAAGGCACACGCACCCTGTAGACTCTTGCATGATCCAACCATGTGATGTTCTATACCAAAGTAGTGGATGAAAATTTGCTCAGCTTTAATGAGACTATTCTGTGCCTCACTAACCTCTCCATAAATATATTTGAAGTGACTAATTTTGTACTGTAAGAAACCAAAGAGTGGGCAATTTCCACCATAGACATGCAGGAATGTTGACTCCAACTTGTGGATCAACTGCCTAGCCTCTTTGAAGCACTTGATAGAGCAATACATGTCTGCCAACATCATAAAAGTTACTATGAAGTCAGCATTCAGTGGCTGTGTTTTTGGGAATGCATCTGCTCCAATGAGTTGCAGGGCAAATTCTTCCAATTCGTCATGTTTAATCTGTTCACCTTCATGTTCTTTCAGTTGCAAAGTCATCAGCTGCTTCATGTACTTCACTACGAAAGCATCACTAATCTGGTCAATATCAAATTTCACAGCAACTCTCAGAATACCATGATAACTTTTGTGGTCTATGAGTTCTTGAGACAAGATAGCAAGTCTGAATACTACTTTCAAATTAACATCAGTTGCTGGGGTCCTTGTAAAATCCCAGCACAACCCAACTGCAGCAATACAATAAGACTGAGCTTTCTGATAGTCTCCACAGATCTTATGGAAGGCTGCCAAATTCACAGTAGCAACAACAGTGCCCAGATGATTCTGTTTATGTTCAAAGTAACTCAATGCACTTAAAAAACATTTTTCGCCAAGCTTATACTTCATTCTCTGATTTAACATCACTCCAACACTGATCATCAAATAACCATCTCTAGGATAACCTTGAGGGAAGCTTGCAATTTCCTCCAAACAAGCAGTGTCTCCAGTTTGAAAAGCCAGGAGACTTAAGAGATAGAGAGCATTTGATTCATAAAACAAATCACCTTCAGGAGGTAGAAAGATAAAGTGGGCTCCAGAGCCTTCTAATGGCCCTATCACTGCTTGCACAACATGTTGTTGTACAGCTTTCAAATAGGCTTGACCTTCATCACAGCCACTGACCACACCAATGATTTGAGTCAACTGCTCAATACTGTCACCTTCATCCACAATCTTGTCATGGAGAGAGAAATTTTGCAACTTCTTAAGAAGATAAGAGCACTTGCTTTGCTTGTCATATGCAGCTTTATCACACATGATGAATGGAGACTTGTAGATCACACTTTTCTTCTCTTTTTTCTAGAATAAAGTAAGAAGACAAGAAACATAAGCTTCTAAAGAAAATAATATGTCTTAGATAGATAGATAATTTTATTGACTAAAAACATAGCAGCCATTGGCTGAATTATGTCTAGCTTACAATTGCTAATATATATACACAACAAGAAAACTATAAAGACCCTATAATAAAATATATAATAAAAATATGAATGCAATTAATTAAATATCTAGTTATTAAAAACATGACTTAGAATAAAACTGTTCTTGCAACATTCAGTTCTACATCTTGATAGTTTAGATTGCATTTGGTTCCTAAGGCTGTAAGTAGATATGTTTACTTCTAGCAAGAGTGAATGCAATTTGTGTTCCCTATTTGTAGAGATCTTGATGAAGAGTTTCAAGGAGATTTCTTCTCTTCTTTCAGATAGTGTAGGTAATCAGGCACGCTGAGTGTTTCAGCATAAGACAATGTAGGGTAAATAATCTGAAGAGCACATCTTTGTAGACATTCCAAATTGTCGTCCAGGTAAGCTGGTAGTGCACGGTGAAAACTGGACAAGCATACTCCAGATGGGTCTGGACACACAGACAGTAGAATAGAATGAGTTCTTTCAGAGCAACTCTCAATCTCTTAAGTTGCCTTAAGCAATAAAGGCAGGAATTAGAATTTTTCTTTGCAAAACAGACCCTGATCTGTTTACATTTACTTTCAATGAGTTGGAAGTCATTGGATAGAGACTGTCTGGAAAGACTATCTACAGCAGCTTGAATGTTACTTGGATGGCTGTACTCTTACACCTCTAAAATAGTGATGTCATCAACATATTTCCACATAGATACTCTTTAAACACTAAGATCATTGATCATTATAATGAAGAGCCACGGGCCCAACTTTGTCCCTTAGGGCACCCCAGCATGAACAGAAGACCATTCTGAGTGGCATTCTTTGCAAGTTTGACACGTTGCTTCTGGTTCATAGGAAAGTCTATGATCCAACACACAATTAGACGTGGGACGTCACATTAACAATTTCTGTACCAAGATGTTATGATTTATAAGGTCAAAAGCCTTTTGGAAATCAAACAAAACAACTCAGTTGGTAGCTCTATTTCCATTGATACTTGCGTACAGCTTGTGTGTTATGTTAATAAGAGCATGTGTGGTACTCAAATTAGGGATTGTGCCAAATTATTGCAAGTCGATTTTCTTAAGCACAGCGGGTTTTACATAGCTTTCTACAACATGTTCCTCAGCAATCTTGGAGATTATGATAATATATGACCTACAGTATATATCAATAAAAGGGAAAAAATTAAATTCCATGTCCATGCTGTGTATGTACAGCTCTATGCAACAACATTACACATTCACCTAATGTCATAATACAAAAAGTACAGCCATTTACATCTATTACACTCCAAGCTGTGACTGTTTTGTTCACCATGGCCACTAGAAAAGAAAATTATGGCTACTTAACTTTCAAAATTGGGAACTAGTAAACTTCAGTCACTGTATAGCAAGTTGTAACATCCTTTAATCTTAGTATTAGCTTAATCATAATATTAATGCACCAAACCTGGGGTATGGATCTTGGTCTACATCTTGGTATTTCTACCTTAGGATGTGGTTATAGCTTAGAACTAACTTTTTCCTCTGAATATTGCTCTCAGTAGTTTGCCACAAAATTGTATCAACTGCACATTGCAAGGAAAAATACCTGCAGAAAGAGACAATGAATGTAACCTTTCAGTACCTACTTTTTTAACAGTTTCATTGCAATATCATGTCCTTCAAAAATCAACTGTTGTAGCCAAGAATGATATTGACAATATGAAAATAAAAAAAAAGATTAATCATAACCATTACAATTTCCTCAAATGTGATTGGTACATCGGCTACCTTATATTTCTATACATTTGTGATCAGACTGTGTAATGGGGCAGTTGGCTGTTGGACTGTTGAGTCAGCCAATCACACTAAGTCCACACAGCTAAATCCACCAATCACAGAATTGATCACAATAATCATAGCTGCGACCACATACCCTGAAAAAAAAAAACCAAAAAAAAACTGGGAAATGTCCAAATTTTTTGCTTTAGACATTGTCCCTACTGGAGATGTTTGTCCTTAAATGTTTTTTTTTTTTTCGGAAATTGTAATGGTTATGATTAATTGGTAACAGGACTTCATGTTGTCCAATTCTGTCTGTAATCATACTCCTGATTGACAAATCAGACTCCCACTTTGTGGTCCTCCAATTTTGTTAATCACTCATATGACTACAGATTACTCATAACCAAATTGGACTCTACTCGGTCCTATTACCATTATAAACAAAGAGCACCACAATGACGCCACATTGCAAGTGAGAAAACAGAGTTGAGACAGACTGCTTAAGTTACAAGGAAAAGATAAATCTCCTAGGTTTTATGTTTTACAAGTTCCTTTACACAACTTGAAACATTTCCAATTGAAAATTGTTGAAAGAAAAGACAGGGCAAACAAAACAAGTCAAACTACTGAAGAAAACTCAGTAAGCCTTTTGTTGACTTTCATTTCACTGATGCAGAACTGAGAAATGTCAGGGCATGTCAAACTACCTTTGAATCCAAAGCAACTGCATTCATAAGCAAGGATAATTTTTTTTTTTTAAATTATAAGCACTAATCACCCTTATCTACTTTAAATTAGTTTAAGAATAAATTACAGTGTAAACATGGTTGCCACAGGGCAGGATTTGAAATTCCCAGACAAATGTCAAAAGTTTTAGGCTTGACTTTTCATTATAGATCTCTACCTGGGCAAAAAGATACATTGCTTTTTAAATGTGCTAAACTAATTAGAGCTATGAATCATAAGCTAAAAAGCATAGTGTGTCCTGCATGGTTTATAAGCAAAGAGGGCTATGGTAGAACTCTGTGATGTGTAAAAGGAATAAGGAGGGAAGGTTTACACTGTAGGAGAGAAACTCAAGAACACCAGGCTTGCTGGCTACTTTGATCAAAGGACCATTTGATCTCAAAATCAGTAGGGAGGATAGGGAACATGGACAAGAATTTCCAATGCAAAGGCCTCACTTCAGTAGAAAGATTAGATGTATGACAAGGTGTCTTACACTTGTGAGTTTCTGCATAGCGTTAAAAGTCCACATCCACCACAGTTCTACTTAGTTCTAACCAGCCCAGTGAATACAAGCCCAGTTTGCAGTCCACTGGTAATTCAACCAAGGCTTATCAGCTCTCCCATACACCAATGTGGCTTTGTACCAAACAGCCTGCCATGAAGGAGGATCTGGTAAAGATCCAAGAGACCCTTGGAAAAAATCCTTGAGGATAGATAATCTAGCAGCCATTCTTTGTAGCACCAGGAAACCTCTTCAGTTCAGTCACCAGTAACTCCCCACCTTAATCTAAGCACTGCCCCTACTGCAATGGTAGTGTGAACACCTTTTCCAGCAGAGACAGATAAAGCAGTTGATGTAACACCGATTACAATGAATCCCTTTGGCGTTGATGAAACCCTTGCACTCTGGTCTAAGGTGATGTCTGCTAAGAACTTTGCCATTTAACTAGTATAGCATATGTTCAAGCCATCTGAGCTCAAAGGGTGCAGCATCCAAAGGGCAGTGGGTAACAAACAAGAAACCATTGAATCCCCAAAAATTAGATCCATATTTAAAGAGCTTGTCTTCACGTATTTCCTGACACCCCCATCTCAATGTGAGCTACTTTGGCACAATTGTCAAAGGCCATAGCAATTTATCTGCATTTGTGTGAGCTCAACCAGAGTAATATTTAGACAAGTCCATGATATAGTGTAACCTTGATAGCTTTCACTTAATAAAAAATTTTGTAACACATTCAGTTTTAGTGGTTGTTTGCTTCAATTTATTTTGGTAACAGAAAGTTAACAAATAATCAAAGAGTACTGTAAACAAAGACTGGCGATCAACAACCCAGTGTAAATATGCGTACATAATACTATTGATTCTTAACTTAGTACTTTTCTCAATTCCCTTCAGATATACCCTGTACTATAGCAATTTTATACATTTTCAGTATTTATTGTAAAATATAAGGCAATTCAGCCTTTTGACGGTAATAGGAAGGGTTCAAAATAATAGCTGGATGCCAGTGGCAGCCAGAACTTTTAGCACACTTGCCAGCGATTTTCACCAAAGAACCACAATTTTATAGGAAATATTATGCTCATGATCGTCCAACTGAAGTAAAAGTCGCTGTCATGTTATTGTGAACATTTCATATCTGGCAATAAAGCAGCCAAGAAATGTTTTAAAAGCTCTTTGGAAGTGTAAACGAGTATAAAGTTTCGAAATTTGAAGCGCGCTACAAGGAGTGTTTTTGTTGACAGTATTCAGCTTCGTATAGGTAATCACATGATTTCGAGTGCAATTTGGAATAAATAAGCACGAGTACATTTTTTTAAAAGCTAACAAAATTGCACGAGCCCGTAGGGCTCGTACAATTTGTGGTCTTTGAAAAAATTAAAAAGTGCTTGTTTATTCCAAATTGCACGAGAAAAATAATGTGATTACATGGAAAAATACGAGATGGCTTATCATAATTAAGCATAAGCAAAGCGCGCGCACCAAGTGCAAAAATAATTTATTCAAACCGTGCGTTAGGTCAAAACAACCGCCTACGATCAAAACAATAATATGCAAAGATATCTTTACATCTTTAAGGCGCAAAAAAGTTCAAAGTCCGGCTAAAATGTTCAGGGAATTGTTCAGTCTGTGTCCGAATCACTTTCGATGAAATGGGATCGTCGTTTCCGAGGTTTAAGCATGTTTGTTTTGAAATTCGGCATTGGATCGCTCGAGCAAAGTGTTAAGCTGGGTCGGGTCGTAATTTTCGATTTCCTTGGCAATTTCCTTCTCTCAACACCACTTTTTTCCAAATTGACAACCAAAAAAGCAGTGCTTTTTCCAGTGTTTTCGTTGTTTGAGCTGTTTT